AATGCTTTCTCCTCCGACCGGTCGGCCGCAATTTATGCCTCGTCCGAGACTCCGAATCGCGTTGTCTGGCCATTCGGTCACGCCCCCCCTCAGCCTCCAACATGGCTGGCTGTACCTGCATTCAGGTAGCGGTCACCTTAATTTACCAAGAAAGACTGTATTAATATTCTGTATTCTATTCGCAGTCGAAGCATGTGTAGACATGATTTGCAGGTGGATTTCACTTGAAGACGACATCGGATACTTCGAGGTTTGTTGTCGTTTGGTCTTGCTGTCACGTTCAGACGGATGAAGTCGCAGAAACACTCTTTTTCGAATATTGTCTGTCATAATTGTTGAGCTTACTTCCATTTCGAGTGGAAGTGTTGCGTGAAGAGATTCGAAGGTCGGTTCAACCAGAAGACGACGGCGAATTCCTCTGGAGCATTCAAGTTGGCGCTATTTTGAAGGTTATCTCCTTCGATTCCGGTGAAAAGGTGCTAAGCTTTCATCCGTCATTTGACGAACATCAACAGAGCAAGGTATCTTCGTCACAACACAATTCAAGCTAACGAGTCAAGAAAACTCACCGGACTCGTTAGCTTGAGTTTTATTGTGACGATGTTACCTCGCTCTGAAGATGTCCGTCATATGACGAACGAAAGCTTAGCACCTCTTCACCGGAATCGAAGGAGATAACCTTCGAAACAGCGCCAACTTGAATGTTCCACTAAAGCCCATTGACAACTGGTGAAGAGGAATCGGCCGTCGTCTTCTGGTGGAACCGAGCTTCGAATCTCTTCATCAAAAACTCTTACTCCAAATGGAAGTAAGCTCAGCAATAATGAAACAAGAGAGTCATCGAAACGCAACTTTTCTTCGTTTATTGTCTGTCATGCCATTTGCCAGACGTCCTCAGAGTAGTCAAGCAATCTTCTGCCAGACTTATGCTTTGAGGATGTCCGTCAATTGGTTTGACGGACGAAAGCCGAATGTGTACCTCTAGAAGACTGCCTCAAGCCAAATGTTTGAGTTAAACCGAACGATAGTATATCTCGA